TACTGTTCGTTGATTGTAAACTCTATGACCAATGTAGGCCTATCGTGCCATTGAACTCAATCTATTCGCTGAACTTGCACCAAATTTTATAACTCTCAATGCATTCCCTACAAAGCCCAGAGAACACTAGCAAAAATTCCCTTCATTCAACAGTCTATGCTGCATAGACTTATTGGCTGAAAGGATTGGTTTTTACCTGTTCGTAAATTGATCGGACTTGCGTGTGGTACGTAGTAATGAGACAAAGAAACACCCAAGCGCGATATGTTTATACAAATACATAAATAAATAGTGTGAATATAAATATGAGTTAAGTATGTGCTCATTTTTAGAGTGTGGCTGTGTTGCACTGGCGTCACTGGTGGTTTGACACTGCGCGCCAAAACTTGAGTAGCCTATTTATAAAGCCACTTAAATTAGAGTCCGACCTGTGTCTATTTATAAATGTCCACTCATCAACACTCGAGTCACTAACCATTATATGGTCCCGGTGACTCAGTCAGTACCCAATAGATTCAATCATCGTTTTTAAGCCGAACCGGAGGCCCGTCAGTCAGACAGTCAGTCCATCAGACCGTCACTGCGACCTACGTCACCGGTCACACTCACATCAACTTTTCTCACATCATGAAGTTTTTGATGATGCTTGTGATGGCTCATGAGTGATGACTGCTCATGATATGTATAAAGTTTGGCTATTTTGTTATCAGTTGGCTATGCTATTTTTTTATCAAATCCAGCGCTTGTAAATGAAAGCACCTATGGCTTTTTTATGTACGTGGAACCGTAGAGAACTGCGCTAAGTGGATAAAATAAATTTCACGTACAATTGTGATGTAATTATGTGTAAACATGCATATGCAGTTATAAAAACATACTATATATTATGTTGCCTTGACAGTCAATATAATACATAATCTACTGTACGTTGTAAAACTATTAACATCTTGAAAATGTCACGTCCCGCACACAGAGTAGAGAAGCTGACGGCAATCAAAGCAAATGGTATGCGATACGCTTCACACTTCTGTAATAGGTGTCTGTATGACTGTTCTATTGTTGATATATTAGGTTGGACGAGAAGCAATTTGATTTTAGTTCAGTTGACTGAATGCTTCTGTGATCAGTTGACTGTATTAAATTGCTTATACTTTAAAGAACTCTGCAAGGGTGTCAAGTAAACCCGCTTAATGATATACTCTTTATATTTATATACTATTCCTCGAGAAAGTTTTTTTATACTTGCGGCACGCAATACATGTGAATACTCTCACAACTTTGAAATGATGGTAGTCAAAATGTCCCCCATTTTTGAGCACTACGTTATCTTGTCTATTGATATAACTGTTTTATCACAAACGACAACTTTGACATCTATGTTCTACCGAAAGTGGGTCATACATATCTCACTGCGAATATATGCACGATTGTACTAAGTAGATTGTGTGTTTATATCCTGTATACACATGTTTCTTATAGCTCAATTAAATATGTTTTTAGGGTTTAGGTTCAGAATACAAACCGCATACATACGGGTACTGACTTTGCTATGTCTACAATCAAAATCAAGCTGTACAAAATCTAAAGAATGTGAGAACGTGAACGTCAAAATGGTATACAAATAAGCACTCATTTATTTATGATAAATTAATACATTGGGTATAAGTATATTTAAAATTAAAATTCATTCGTGTCTTAACTTCACATGTACATAAGCAGCGCTAGTTCATATCCTAGTACATGGCTTATTTTTTTATCTGAAGTCAGAAGTATTTCTGAGACCCCAGTACTGTCAGCCCACATACTTACCCAAATCTCGCTATAACTTGATTATAGCCGACGCGCACAACTATGTCAAGAAGATCAACATGCGCGCCGACGCCACGCCCGAAGAGAGAGCAAAACACCACATCTTCGCAGAACACTCACCTGTGGTAGACAAGGTCGAGCCGGTTGCACATCCTGTGGTAGTTGAGGGTACCGGGCACGTGGGAAACACGGAGTCGAAACTTGAACCTCATATAAATAATGGTCATACCCATCATGTGAATGATGGGCTCACTAAAGGTGTCCCGAGTGGGCATGCCAATGCTGGAACTACCAATCCCAATTATTAAAGATTCTCAGCACTTATTAAATATACCTTGTTTAAATCAGAATACGGCTTTCACTATGCGGATGGTTTTTGGAAACACGTTCGAGAGACATCAGTTGTGGCAAGTGTGTCTGATAAACGATGAGTGCAAGAGAGGTGAGGCAATTAGTGGCATAACTGATTGTGCACTAATTTCATTTGCCAATAGTATAAATGTGCGGTACATCACCAGTGAATCTCCCATTCTGCTTGCTATCCTCTAGTACAGGCAAACAAACACAATCTGTCAGGCGCAAATGAGTGCTTTCGACGGCTATTCGGTTAGCTACATTATATTAGTAGGCACAAACGCGCATCGCATATACTCGGACAACATATGGTTCGACCTTTGCAAATATCGCACTTTCGACATATTTTGAGAATATCAGTACTAGTCTTTTAGTATGCAGCATCGGTTGTATCCCGCTTCTTGGGCTAATATCATGATTTTACAATTGGCATGTCCAAACTGGTGGACATACACCTATACTTCGCGTTGCAACGTGAACCAGTATGAACTCGCGATAGCACTATACGTAGCCGTCTAAAATTGACTATAGGAGAGTTTATAAGCAAATGTAATCTAGCACTCCTATATGATATAACGTGATTTCGCACACGATTTTGCACATTTATAATCATTGCTCCCAATACCTTATATATATATATATATATATATATGATAATGTATATATATGTGTATATATATATATATATATATATATATATATACATATACATATATATTTACATTTATATATG